TGAATCAATTTTTAAATTACTAATGTTTTACTAGTAATTTATCGATTTTGCCGATCTATGCATAAAATCTGTACTATCGGAATACAATTCACATATATAATTCGCAATTATTCCTTATATTTGTTAAATGACAGAAGCAGAACGAACTTTTAAGTAACGATAACCACCGTTTTTATTAAATTAACGTTAAAAATTTTAACCTTGTGCATTTTCCAAGTTTATATAGGTGGTTACAAAATAGAAATGGAGAAGGTCCTGGCTCGCCCAATCACGATAAATCTCACATTTTTGGCACGAAACGGAAAGATTCTGAGATACTTATTCGGGGCAACAATTTGTTGTGGGAAAATGGGACAAACGGGAAAGTTGATATACGATATGAACAAACTGGTGTCAAAGATAAGAGTGGAAATGATGCCGTTGAATGTTCCAATCGAGAAAAAATTCGAGAACTGCAGTCAAGCTTGGGGAAATTGTTCCGAGACAGTACCTTTGACGGCTTTGTATGGACAAATGAACACGTTCAAATGCCGTGTTATCTTGTACTCCCAAACAATGAATCTAAAATCGAACATGACAGTTTTTCCGTGTGCCAAGTGCCAGTTTGTGCAGGACTTGATATTAAAACATCGTGCAATAATTCTCCCATTATAGTTGAACGAATAAGTGAATCTGATGGTATTCATGTGGCAACCTCTCTTCACCTTAAGCTCCAAACTGAAGATCCTCAAGAAAATTCTATGAAAGAACTTCAATGTTATATAACGGAAATTAAACAGTTTGGTTTTAATCATATTATCATCATCGGAAAACGTTATTGTGGCATGCTTTTTATGGATTGTTTTGGTCGCGTGTTTGATTGGGATTCAGCGAATGATGCATTGTGGCTTCTCGGGGATTATTTCGAAATTATATCAAAGGATGAGTCTGAGGAATATGGTCGGATAGCATGGGGCATCTTGGATGATGAAACTGTGATTGAGCTCGAAAAATGTATGTGTATATTTGTAGTTTGAGCTAGATAAATTAACTCGTATATTTAAACATTGTACCTTAATCTCTTATATTTATTTCTTCTTTTAGATTTGCCGGAAAAATGTAACACTGACCCAATTGTGAAAAAGAAAAAAAATAAAAATAAAAAAAAACGTCATTGATTAATATAAAATATTTTGGTCTTACAAACCAAGTGAATAATTATGAAGTGATCATAATGGTTTATTCTGCAATAATATATCGAAAAATAGTAAAGATGTGTTTGATTTATTTTGAAAATAAAGTTTCGAGCTTGTTTTTTTTTTATGTATGCATGTGAACATGAAATTGAGTTGCAAAAATAATGCATCCGATATTTAAAGTTTTAATTTTATTTAATGAAACCCAATTCTTGAAGATGCTCTGAAATAATTATATATGGGTCTTCGTAGTACTAGACATATCTTAAAACAATCCAGTTTCTTTGCACAATTCTTTCTTGATTTGATCTTGTGTTTACTGTCAGATAAAATTATTGGGATTGCCTTTATAAAAGAATTTGTGATATTTTTTGTGTTGTATGTCTTGCATTTTGATTGCAAAGCCATATTGCAGATAAAATATATCAAGTTCTAATTTATTTGGATATACTTGTGTCTTTAAGAAACCAGGCCTGTGGTTTGGTAAAGAGACACCAAGATATTTTATTATAATCTTATAACATAGCTTTTCTCTCTTATATTTTGGGCAGAATGGACACCAAGTTTCTTGTTGAATACTATTAGGAATAGCTTTCCATTAATGTTTATTCTCACAAATTCACTTTAGCTTAGTATATGAGTTACAATATCAATTTGAAAGACAATCTTCATTTTTTATTTGTACAAGTTTATGCATATTCTCAATTGTTTGATAATGACCAATACAAAATAGACACCATTGCTTTCTATTTTTAATGTGATTAAGTATATTTTGCTATTGATAGTTAAATTGGCAATGCTATATAAATAGTTTGTTTATATTTTTATACTTAGTCAAAAGGCATTCTTTACTTCTAGATAGTGCAATTTGTTTTGCATCCTCAAGGGTTAGTTTTGCAATATCTGCACAATATAGACATTATAAACTAGAATTTTTAATGTTATGAAATAGACTATTCTAAATATGATTTTGATAGCATTTCTATATTATCAGAGTTTTAGAATTACTATATACAGTTGAAAAACATTTCCATTTTGGCTAAGTGCAATTTGCTTAGCATTTTCAAGAGTAAAACAAGCATTTTCTGTATAATATAGACACCACTTACTATGATTTTGATATTATTAAAGATGCATTTCATATATAATCTTTAGTACAATGCTATAGTAATAGCAATCATTGATTAAGATATCCTTCCGATAGATATTCTCTATCTTTTAATAGTGCAATTTGGTTAGTAATCTTAAGAGTAAGTTTTATATTATCTGTATATTTTAAACACTATTGTCTTAAATTTCAACGATCCTCTGGTCAACAACAACAAAAACTGAACTACAGCAAAACATATAGGAAGACAACAAAGTAGATACTAAACTTGGTTCTATAAGTAGGAGCAGCTTGTTGTCAAAGAAGTTTAAGCATCTAGACGTGAAACACTAAGAAGCGAGTGTTAAAAGAACAGATGGTTTTCTTTGGGGTTAAGTTTTTTTTTCTTTGACAGACTCCCCAAGGTATTCGGCATCCAAACTAAAAGGTTTATTCTGAAAACAAGTCTGTAGAAGCAGCCAATATGCACTTCTAAATTAGTAGAAATAGAGAAGCTGGACTATACAACTGTAAAATTACAAAAAAATCCTCATATACTCTTGTTGGCCTACTACTTTTTTTCAAAGAAATTTTTATAAAAAGTGAGTGTTTTAGCTTACTTTCTCCAAATGATCGATATCACATATACCAAACAAGTTAGCATTATTTATCTCTCAAATCAGAACATGACAACAAACATATATATACATGTGCCTTGAATGCAATAAATATCTGTACAAATAATGCTTCAAGACTCTGTTTTGACCTCTCTACTTTAAGTCAGTCTATAAAGTTTTTCATATTGGGTTTTTACTTTTGCATACTAGTTTAGAGAAAAATAGAAGTAAAGACTAATTTGTCTAGTTAGTATATAATTTTTCTAAGCCACCCACAGGCTTATAATAGTGGCATTAGAATAGGCAAAATTGCTTTTTGTTTTGTTTTTTTTTCAATATCCCTTTATCCTTTTTTCTTTCGTATTTGTATATTTTCATCATATCTTCTATACCTCTGTATTTTTTTAGTTTGTTTTATATTTTTTCTTATTTTGCTTTTTGATGCAGCAGGTAGCTGTTAGCCGATAAATAACAGAAAAAATGTCCTTAGTGAGTTAACAATCCTGAGTAAGGCTAAGAGCTACTTAGGCAGATCGCACCTAGTATATAAAATTATGTAGGTGAGTCTTATTTTGGTTATACCTCTATAGTTGTTAAATAAAGTTATTGTAATTTTTAAAAGACTGATACCATAATAAATAAAGCAGGACAGCCGAATTGGAAAAACTATTGTCTTAAATTTTAATATTAGAGAATAGAGCACTTTATATATGGTTTTTAAAACAGTACCATATTAATGAAGTTCTATTATCTTTATATTTAGTTAAAAGATATATTCTATCACATTCTTCAGCAATTATACTTACATCATTTAATGATAGCCTTTTCATTATTTTTTAGTCATAGTTGAATCTTCTTTTGCAAATCTAATAGAGTATTGAATCTTAATCTAATTGCATATGGATCATCTGGTTTGTTTAAATCAAACACAATAAATTCACCTTTGTTTAAATAGCTGTTAATAACCTTTGATGTATTTTTACATTTTAGTATAGTATTTAATAATCTTTATATAAGGTACCAGAGTTAAACAGTATTAAATAGAAAATATTTTCACAAATAATAATTAAAACTTTGTGATATTTCTGTGAAAAAAAATTAGACTTATATTTTGATAATGTTTATGTATAAAAAATAAGATAATTCGATTTTGTATAGTCTTAGAAGCAATATATAAATCTTTAAAGATAATTTTATATTAGTAGATTTTATTAGTATATTTTAGTAGATTTTATTAGTAGATTTTATTAGTATAGTTTATATTTATTATATGTATATTTTTAGTTTTAGTTTAATAGTAAAATTTTTGACATAGTATTAATTTTAGTATAATATTAAAAATGTTATTTGATTTTTTTTTTTTTTTTTAAATGTTAAGGTGACTACTTTGGGGTCTGGCACGTTTTATTAAACTTTGGATCAAATGTCAGGGCAGCTACAGAGCTACCCCTGACTTTGTTACATTAATGAGGATACATACTAGCCATATGTACAACTTTTGGTTGTCTATTTAAGCAGTCTTGCATATATAACTCATATGAACTACACTAGATGTCGTACCTGTAACCTACTATTACTTGAGCTACCCAATTAAACCCTCTGATCAACTTAGCGCCGTCAGGATATTCTCCCCAAAGAGAAACTGCCGCTAAGGCCCCTTAGGACTTTAAAGCGGACACGCACTTCCATATAGGGGATCCTTTATCCTTGTCGTAAACCTACTAGAGTAGTCCATGTCCCATATATGTATCACCTAGATTTTCGGTAACTTACGCCTAGGCCGCGGCCAAGTACTTGCGGCTTTTTACCTCCGCTACCATTACCTACTTTGTGCCCTTGCAAAGTTCACCCAAACCTAGCACCCACTTTACAAACTATTAACAGTACTTCGATGCCAACCATCGGTGCCTCAAACTTCCAATCCAGATGGCCCGGGAGGGACCAGTGGGCGTCCTCTGGTATTCCGAATGAATCCTTTTTCCTCTGGCTGATCTGGCGGCCTGGTTGGTATAGTGCTTGCCAAACACTCGGTCCTCGTTCAGTTTAACTATGGTGTCCGGTTCCCCAGATGATAATCCTTTACGTAGCACTATTAATGATCTGTGCTACCTCTCTACTCGGGACTTTCCAAGTAGGCTTCTGTATCCCCCGATCCCTTGAATTTATTTGGCTGCTTCACTTGGGTTTTGTGTAACTCATGCATTACACTATGTTCCACAACCTCCCAATACAAGTTGGTGAGACCAAAGTCACAGGTGCTTACCCGATCAATATGTTATACAGTTTTACCATAATGCATTTCCGCAAATTCGAATTTCATTGCCAGTGGGATTCGAACTCTTGTCCTGCCGCTTGGGGGTGCGACAACTTACCAACTACATCATTATTATTTTTTATAGCTTTTAAAAAATCATTCTGATATTATTTCTAATAATAACGTATTTGACTTACTTCAAAATGAAGAGTTTTTTTCAAAATGCCATCAAATAGTATCTATTCTTAAACCAGTAAAAGAATTAATAAATATTCTTGAGGCTCGAAATGCAAATTTAGCCGAATGTTTCATTGGCTTAGTAAAGCTTGCTACAAGTATTAACCGAATAGATTCAAAAAATCAGTGGAAAGCTGTAATGATTAATAATTTCAACAACCGTTCTAACGAATTCATTAATGATATCTATATATTAACTTACTGGCTTTATCTATTGTATCGCGGTAATATTTTATTAATAATTAATTTTTAATTTTTAATATTTTAATTATTAAAAATATTTATTTATAGGCCGTGGATTAAAACAAGTTGCATTAAATAAAATATATGAAACAGCATCAGTTATTTGGCATAATTTCAAGTATAATGAAGCATCATGTTTAAGTCTTTTAATAGAAATGAGAGCATGGAAACGTATAGAACCTCAATATAATCTTAGTTATAATCGATCTCAAGAAACGCCCATAAAATGGTGGATGAGTATTAATGTAAATGAAGAAAATGTTCAATTACAAGAACTTGCACTATTTTTATTTTCAATAGTTCCGTCTCAAACAGTTTGTGAGAAAAATTTTTCTACATTAAAATAGCTTTTTGGAAAAAGGCGAACACAATTGAGTTTATTACAAATTGAATAAGTAGCAAAAATTAGATCTTTCTATATTTCAAATACGGATAAAGAATTAAGAATTTATGATAAAGATATAAATGAAAATGATTTAAGAGAAAGTTTAAATAACTCCGTAACTATGCAACAAGCTGAAAACTTAGAGATCGAAGATGATGATAATTATAGGCAACAAACATTAACTGATAATTTAAGTATTAGTCAAATTGTCGATTTAACTCTACCTGAGTTTTTATCTACTAATAACAATTTATTTGAATCTGCTATAAACAAATTATCCTTTCACGAAAGAGCTCATAATTCAGGGAATATAGAATATGATCCAATTCGTTTGATACAACAAATAGCAAATGAAGAAAATGCCAGAACTGATGATTCGTAATTCATCATATGTATATTTTTTCACTCTCTTCAAAGTGAACACACTATTTTGCGTTTATTAGAACTTAAAATAATATTGATTATTTATATAAAAAATTTAAGAATTTAGTACTTTTTTTTTCTTTTCCCTATATAAATAGAACCAAATCTAGTATATATTCTTTTTTATTATATATTTTTATTATTTACCGATATATATTAAATATTTTTTAAGAAATTATATATATAAACAAGCAAAGATGAGGCACTGATAGGGATGGCAAAAAACATGTTTTTTATTTTCTTGTGTTTTAAAACATGTTTTAAACATGTTTTAAAACATTTTTCGTGTTTTTTATTAAATAATAAAAAAATTTATACATTATAAATACAGTTTTTTAAGTATATAATATGAAGAATATCAAAATACACTAGTAGTATTTGATATTACATATATTTTTGCTATGAAATTTAGAGTAAAATGCATTAGTGGTGTTTGATACTACATATATTTTTTGCTATGAAATTTAAAGCTAAAGTAGAGTTATAAACTAAGAAAAGGTTAGATATAAAAGTTCAAATTTTGGTTAGTATAAGGTTTTTGAGGATTTTGAATATTTTTACTTAATACATGACTTTAGTTTTTTAGTAAATTGTTTGAGATTTAATAATTGTATTATTAAATATTATTAATACATTTTAATAAACTTGTATAATATAGTTTAAGAATTTTTTAGATATTAGAAGGATTAATAAAAATTTTTTAACTTAT